AAAGCAGGTTGCAAAGCTTTGACATAGGCTGCTGATGAGCTGAAAGGGTGAGGCCAAAGGGACTTACACTGCCCAGCTGAGTAATGACGTTGATGTAGTTCTCATCCTTCTCAACTTTCTTGCGGAAGCGAATGGTCTGTTCCATTTCCATGGGGTTGACATCTTTAGGCCAGCCGCCTTCCACGTGGTTGATGCCCCGGGTTTCCATTTCAAACCTTTCTGTGTTGACCTGGTGTAAAGGAAAACCACAGCTGCCTTCAGTCTTTCCCGCCCCTTTCTTTTTAAACAGCAGCAGCAGTGGCCTCAGATACAAGACCATGATTCTCAAGGGTCATACGTAAGAAATGGAGGAGGCCATAGAGGAGAACGTTTTGGCGACCAATTGGGTTGCATGTAAAGGGATAACACGACGAACACAACCAATTGCCAAGCACATAATACCACGGATGACGTTAATCCACATTACAGAGTCCATCCAAAACTTCTGATTACCAGCATTGACAGTCTTACTACACGTAGGATGGTTAGCACATGAGAAGCAGTTGTTTGTTTTCTTCCCATAGACAGAAATTGTGCACAGAAATTCCAGTAAGAACCATGCTGTACAAAGATAAAGGTAAAGGGACCCCTGACCATTAGGTCCAGTCGTGGCCGACTCTGGGGTTGCAGCGCTCATCTCGCTTTATTGGCCGAGGGAGCCAGCGTACAGCTTCTGGGTCATGTGGCCAGCATGACTAAGCCGCTTCTGGCAAACCAGAGCAGCACACAGAAACACCATTTACCTTCCCGCCGGAGTGGTACCTATTTATCTACTTGCACTTTGACGTGCTTTAGAACTGCTAGGTTGGCAGGAGCAGGGACCAAGCAACGGGAGCTCACCCCGTTGCGGGGATTCGAACCGCCGACCTTCTGATCGGCAAGTCCTAGGCTCTGTGGTTTAACCCACAGTGCCACCTGCGTCCCTTGTACAAAGATACCTCCTGCATAAATGACACTTCCTTATACTGGCCACTAACTCAGCATTTTCTACTTGGACTGGCAGCAGCTGTACAGGGCCCCAAGCAAAGGTAATTCATATTTCTCCTGCTCCCTGAGATCCTTCAACTGGAAATGGCAGGGATGGAGCCTGGGGCCTGTGTTCATATGCCAAGTACGTGTTCTGCTACATTATTCTAACTCCCACAGTCCTAGGCATGAAGCAGGTGTGGACTGTATATTTTGCCAAACAACAACAACCCATCAACACTCAAAACACACCAGACTCGTTGATTTTGTTTGCCATTTCATGGCTTCTTTGCCTTCAGCAGCTGAACTGGCAGGCAGGCAAAAGTTCACCTGGTGGAGAGCTCTTCCCTACCCTGACTCAGGATGCGTGCCTTTCTAACAGAAGCAACAGCCCCATGCCTCCACCATCTGTAATGCCTACAAATACTAAGTATGTGATGCAATATCACTGCATTGCAAGTTCCCTGTCCCCATGTAACTTCACAGGCTACTGCTTGTAGGAATGGGGAAACTCACAACATGGGGGTGTTGCTACATGCGTTTTGTACTGCAGGGACAGGTTGCTGATTTTGGTAAAAGCTGTGCCTCTCCTGCAATGTCCAATTCGAGTCCAGGCTACGCATCATTCTTATACCTCCACAGACAGCCTTGTGTTTTCATAGAGTGGATGTCAAGAAAATCTGCATATCTGCAATCATGTCAAACAAAACCTTGGTGTCCGTCGCAATCACAGGAAGCTCAGCTAAGGATGGAGGAAAAGAAGCAGTACTTCCAACCTACATGGCTATGGAGCAAAATCCAGAAGCCGCCATTCATTAAGGAAATTCAGGGATTTGTTTCTTTTTTTAAGGGCTTGGGTTTTCCAGCTTCAATTTGGAAAACAAAAAGCACTCTGTTTTAACACAGCCACCAAAACAGGTAGGTAAAGGGCCCCTGAATGGTTAAGTCCAGTCACTATGGGGTCCGGCACTCATCTTGCTTCAGGCTGAGGGAGCCAGTGTTTGTCCACAGACAGCTTTCTGGGTCATGTGGCCAGCATGACTAAACAGCTTCTGGTGCAACAGAACACCGTGACAGAAGCCAGAGCTCATGGAAATGCTGTTTACCTTCCCACCGCAGCAGTACCTATTTAACTACTTGCACTGGTATGTTTTAGAACTGCTAGATTGGCAGAAGCTGGGATAGAGCAACAGGAGCTCACCCCATAGCGTGGATTTGAACCGCTGACCTTCTGATCGACAAGCCCAAGAGGCTCGGTAGTTTAGACCGCAGCACCACCTGCATCCCTCTGCCACCAAAACAATAGCCCCCATAAAGCCACATTGCACTGGATGAAGATTTTAGAATGGTTTCTGAACAGTGCAGAAATCTAGATTGCTTATTTATGCTCTTTTTCTAATGCCAAGGTTCTGTAAACAGAACTCTCTTTTTCTTGTCCAGCTGAATTATATGCAGTTTGGAAATCCTGCATAATCAGCCATACATTTCTCTTTCAGCATTCTGCCTAAAGGCAGAAAAGTAGAAAGTAGTATTTCAAGATCAGACACTCTACCTCATGCTCTGACATATCACCGGCACACTGTACTCCAGAATCAATGGGATCTCTTTCAATAAAATTTGTAGCTTGCAGTGGATCTGGCTGAATGTCCACATTGACCTCTGCCATCCGGTCGGAAAAGGTGCATTGTCGACCGAACTCACTGCGTGTCTTCACATAAACGTAGACAATCTCCATGGTGCTCACTGCAAATGGGAAAGGAAAAGATCCTATTATTCCTTCAACACCACTTTTTAACTGTTGCTATTTTAGTGCATAATTCACACCTGACCCTTACTGGGGAAACACTAGTCTGTTGCAAGCTTGCCTTAAGGCCCTTGAAAAGACTGGAGCAAGTAGACCCATCTAACTAGCAAGTAGACTTTAACTAAAGGGCAGATAACAAGGGGAGATCAGTAGAGCCGAACTGATCACCTTATATTGATTTTTTTGTAAGGTTATGGAAGTGAAATTGTCACAGCACTCCAGACATAATTTTTCAAGATAGGACTTCTATTATGGGGATATTACCTCGTTCCAGAATACAAACCGCAATATTTTGTCTTGCAATTTCCATGGGGATTGCGTTTACATAAGTGTCACAGGGCACTACCGTAATTGGTTAGAGACTAGGACATCACCGATGAAGAGTGATGCAATATTCCCATGTTGGGTCCATGTTGTAACCCTACATATTTAGTAGTGGGAAATTATGGATTTTTTAAAGCATCTGTGCAAGCCTTAAATTATTATTCCTTTTATATTGTGAGCCACCCTGAGATCTTTTGATGAATGGTGGTATATAAATCTAAATAAACAAATAATAATAATAATAATAATAATAATAATAATAATAAAATAATTATTGAGCCTGACAGAGTCCAATATGAAAGAAAACAAGCAGAGCAGCAGTAAGCAAAGCAACCTTAACTGTCTCATATACTTGACAATGTAGGTCTTATTTACTAGTCAAACAATTGCGAAGAAAATCAGTTGAAAAGGAGTAAAACTCCCCAATAATGGAGGGAAAGAGTTGAAGGCAGCATAAGCCCTGGAAAAGAAGGTCTTTGGGGAAGGCTGGTCATCAGGCAGCAATTTGCTTCAGGCAGCAAATGTCAGAGAGGGTCACCAACTTAGCTAGCTATCATAGCTTTTAGGCATAATGCATTACCTCAAGGTAATGCCCTCTAGGTATCATTGGACTCCAATTCCCATCTGCCCCAGCCAGTATGACCAACGATCTGGGATGATGGGCTTTGTAGTCCAAAGAAGAAGAGTCCAACCATGTCGGCTGTCCCTGTATTATTTGCATCAAACATCTAAATGGGAGATGAACCTCTGGCTCTTTCGAGCTGCTGCACTACAAATCCCATCATCAGCCACCCAGCCTGACTATCAGCCACCCAGTTAGTGCTGATGGGGGTTGGAGTCCAAGAAACTGCTTGCCCACCCTCGATCTGGAATCCCACAGGTAGCAGGGACGCTGGCATTAAAATCGAAAGGTGCTTTTGTGTGTGTGTGTAAACAGGGATTCATGAAGGAGTCGTTGGAGGGGTGGAGGGGTTACGCAAACCCTGGAGGCAAATCTCTGTGAGGAAGAGAAGCAAAATTTGTTGCTATCTCTTCCCCGCCCCTCTCTTTATTTTTTATTTTTTGGCTGGTTTTCTACATTCATCACCCTTCTGATAGACAGAAGTTCAGTAGGCGGGGAGAGTTTCCTTTCGATATTGTTGCTGGAATGTTTGCAGGGATGGATAGCTTCCATTTGATCATTGTAATAGATTGCTTTGAAGTCACTCCTGCGCTAGGCAAAATAATGTTTAGCCCCCTCCCCCGCAGCAACCCCCACCTGCCCTTTATTTTGCCTGACCTGTCCCGTATTTTGCCCAAAGGTGGCACCCCCGGGCTCACCTGGGCTGACTTCTGGGTGCTTTTCCTTCCAGTGACAGAAGGACTTAACCCCCAGGGCATGCAAAAAGAAAGAGAAAATAGAAAGAACAAGAGTGCCTCTGAGCATGTGCAGATTCCCCGGCGGCCCTTTCCCTGAACCATGCTTAGGTAACCATAGTCAGCATCACCCGCATCCGGGGCCGGGAAGCGGGTCGTGCCGCTAACCAATGGGAGCTTCCACCGGCGGCCTCGAGCCCGAGGAAGGAGCCGGGGAGGGGTGGTCTGTACCATTCCACGGTGGGAGGGTGGGGAGTGCGGCGCTGGAGGGAGAGCGCGCGTGTTCCATACGCCGAGATAATAAAAAGCACCCCTGGATCCCCCCCCCTCGTTTCCCCGCGCCTCCTCCTTACCCGGCTCTTCTCCCCGCCAAGCGGATCCCGCCGATTGGAGTAGCGTTTACCCGTCACCTAGCAACCGCTTGCGAGTGCTGCGCCCCGGGCGGGCGGGGCTAAAGGAGACAGCCGCGGAGAGGAAGTCGCTTTGCCAATTAAAGGGCGGAGGTGGGACGAGACCATGTGCGGATGCTCAAAGGGGGGAAGCCGAGAAGTCCCCCGCCGTCCGCGAATATGGCGCCTCCCGTTTAAAGGGGAAGGAGGAGGATGGAGAAAGGTTCAGGTAGGATGCGGTGGTTGTCTCCTTCCAGGATTTAATCTGAGCCAGCATGGAGGTGGTGTGGTGTGGGGTTGAGTCCGGTTGAGGGAGGACCACAGTGTGTAGAAAGCGTGCCTCTGGGCATGTGCAGAGTGCATAACGCCATCTCATAGAGCAGGCATCCCCAACCTTCGCCCCTCCAGATGTTTTGGGCTACAATTCCCATCATCCCTGACCACTGGTTCTGTTAGCTAGGGATCATGGGAGTTGTAGTCCAAAACATCTGGAAGGCCGCAGGTTGGGGATGCCTGACCTAGAGCCCCACCTCAGGATTATAGGGTGGATTTAGGCTAGATAGCTCAGTTGGTGAGAGCATGGTGCTCATAATGCCAAGGTAGCAGGTTTGATCCCCGTATGGGAAAGCTGCATAGTCCTATATTGCAGGGAGTTGGATTATAGATGATCTTCAGAGTCCCTTCCAACTCCATAATATAGTCTATGATTTCCAAGCCAGTTCAGATCTGCTGGTTTGATTGCAGCATGAACTTTTGTGAACTAGAGTCTACCCCACTTCATCAGGTGCTATAACAATTAAGTGTTATCCCACTCACCTGGCAGGTGTGTGTGTGTGCGTTGCACACAAAGAAATTCAGAGGGCCAAATGACAATGAAAGGGGAACAAAGGTGCAATTCCAGTTAAGCTTCAGATAGCAGTAAAACAAACACCCAAGCTTTGCAATGTTAATTAACAGCTGTGCGGGGACAGAAAACCATTGTCTCAATTAAAGACAAAATAAACACAGCTAATCCCAAAGCCTGTCTTGCCTCTCGCTGGGAGCCTTCCTTTCAAATTCCCTTTCTGGAAAACAGCAACCATCAGGTCAGCAGCAGGCTGTGTGGAGGATGTTGAGGAACCAAAATGTTCTCCAACTGGTTTCTGCAACCCCGTTTCAGGGCCATCTGAGTTGGTGACTTTTACCACATCTTGTGGTAGAATATTCTGTAATTTAACTGCATTGCCTTCTGATTCTGGGTTTGCCTCATAATAGTTTATTCCTGGATACCACTCCAAGCTCCCTCCCCCCTTCAATGCGGTGTAAGAAATGCATATTGTAAATCCTTTAAATTCAAGTTGCTGTCCAATTACACTGGAACAAATGTGTACACACCATAAAGTATATTTGAAGCACATTTCTCTCTCAGATAATTCAATGACTTGCTTCTTCATAGATATGGTTAGGACTGCACTTATGTTTTATTATATGCAGGGTTTTCAATGAGCTGCCATCCCATTCACCCATAGAATCTCTCATTGTATTTCCATCCATGTAATAAGTGCCATTGCTTTTTCTAACAGCTTCACCAGCCAGAAATTCAAAGATCTTCTGGAAAGCTGGGAAAAGCTCCACACAAAACAAAACCCTTCTCTTTGTGAAAGAAGAGCATTTTGATTGAAAAGAACAGCTTTTAAGAGCAGGCCTCGCAAGGGAACAGCTCTCATCTTAACCCAGCTGCTTCACACAAGCGCGTGAGGACATGCTTTTAAAAATAGAAAATCAGACAAAAAAGGCTGCTTTTTTGTATTACCTTAATGATTTATTACAGCGCTGAATGACCCAACAGCTGCGCACTGCTGCCAACAATCATAAGCAGTGTCACTCAGTATCAAAACAGTTATCTACAAGTGGCCTATTTCCAGGCGCTGCTGCAAACACCCTGGGAGAACAGAACAGAATGCATAATAAAGGCTTCTTGTGAAAGTGTGCTGCTTCTGAAAGCTATGCAGAAAAAAAAGGGTGAGTCACTGAAGGGGAGAAAGACGACTAAAAAAGGAACAACTTTCCATATTCAGAGATATGGGTTAGATTAGAACCTTAAGTGTAAGGAAGGAATAACCAGCTGCATAAATATAAAATGGCTTACCAATAGTACATGTGAATAAAAGGATCTGAGGGTCTTAGTAGGCCACAAGCTTAACGTGAGCCAACAGTGTGATGCAGCAAGCAAAAAAGTTAATGCTATACAGTGGTACCTCGGGTTAAGTACTTAATTTGTTCTGGAGGTCTGTTCTTAACCTGAAACTATTCTTAATCTGAAGCACCACTTTAGCTAATGCGGCCTCCTGCTGCCGCCGCACTGCCGGAGCCCGATTTCTGTTCTTATCCTGAAGCAAAGTTCTTAACCTGAAGCACTATTTCTGGGTTAGCGGAGTGTGTAACCTGAAGCGTATGTACCCTGAAGCGTATGTAACCCAAGGTACCACTGTGCAAGGCTTCATCAACAGAGGTATAGTGTCCAGCTCAAGGGAAGTAATAGTACCACTCTATCCTGCCTTGGTCCTTGAACACTGTGACCAGTTCTGGGTGCCACAATTTAAGAAAGATATTGACAAGCTGGAACATGCGCAGAGGAGCGCAACCAGGATGATCAAGGGTCTGGAAACCAAGCCTTATGAGGAATGGTTGAGGGAGCTGAGTATGTTTAGCCTGGGAAAGAGGAGACTGAGAGGAGATATGATAGCCATCTTCAAATATCTAAAGGCCCGTCACAATGAAAATGGAGCAAGTTTGTTTTCTCCTGCTCTGGGGGTTGGGTAGGATTCATACTAATGGTTTCAAGTTAAGGAAATTCAAGAAAGGAGATTCCAACTAAACACCAGGCAGAACTTTCTGACAGTAAGAGCAGTTTGATAGTGGAACTGATTCCCTTGGGAGGTTGTGGAATCTCCTTCACAGTGGTTAGGTGTCCATTTGCCATGGATGCTTAGTTGAGATTCCTACATTGCAGGGGGTTGGACTAGAACTAGATGACCCTCAGGGTCCCTTCCAACTCTACAAATCTATGACACCCTCCAACATTCCTTGGATGGCCATATTTATTGTGAAGAGAGCAGATGTGGAGCCTCAATAGACCTACTCCTGGCCCGGAATGGGATGTTGTGCCAACAATTGCTCCTTTTTGCTCTAAAACATGTTTTGCACTAAACACCACCTCAGGAGATATCAGGAGGTGGATTTTCAGCAGGAAACTGGTGCTCAGCTGCAATCCATGAATACAGTACGTTCCCTATGGGGGCCATGCAGCTGCCTTTTCTTCAAAATAAATTGTCAATTTAAGCAAGGTTCTTAAAAAGCATGAGCACCATAGGATTGTAGCCAATGCTCATCCGACTCAAGAGTAGACTCATTGAAACCTACACTATTCAGCTCCATTAACTTCAGTGGGTCTACTCTGCATAGGACTAGCATTGGATACAACTCATAGTGTCTAGTTTGGTACTATGTGCTGGTGTGAAGGGTCACAGCATGGCAGAAGCCTGATGGAGTAGAGTTGGGTCGCTTATTGGTGATGTCACTAGTACGACCAAATTCATGTCTATGACACAGGCAGAATCACATTCCAGAAAATGCTTTCAAGTCACAATGGGCCCTGGAGAGCGGAGGAGAGAGATATGTGCTCAACAAAAACAATTTGAGATTTGAGTGCTGGGGAAGTGCAGTAACCTTAAAGTAGACATGAATGAAGAGGACTATGTTCCATGCAGCAGCAATGTAGGAAAAAATCCTAGGAAACAGCAAGCAAAGCATTGCACAGTTGAAAGGATATTAATAGGTGACAGAGGCAGCTTGTAGTTGTTTTTTTGGCTCCTGGTTTTGCTACCAGGCCCTGGGAAGCAGCATTTATCAGATTCCCCCCCCCAAAAAGAAATTATAATAATTTGGCTTCACCAGCAGTCTGAAATATGCATCACCAGTTGGTGGCTTTAGATTTGTTGATGTTTAATGCCCTTTAAACCTCTTGTGATTAACATTTGTAATGCTTCAACATGTTCCAGCTGTGAGCTAAGATCCAAGAGCCATTGAAAGAGCAGATGAATTGCGGCAGCTAGAGTGGTGACTGGGAGTGGCCACCGAGACCATATAACACCGGTCCTAAAGGATCTTCATTGGCTCCCAGTACGTTTCCGAGCACAATTCAAAGTGTTGGTGCTGACCTTTAAAGCCCTAAATGGCCTCGGCCCAGTATACCTGAAGGAGTGTCTACACCCCCATCGTTCAGCCCGGACACTGAGGTCCAGCTCCGAGGGCCTTCTTGGTAGTGGTGCCCACCCTGTGGAACGCCCTCCCATCAGCTGTCAAAGGAATAAACAACCATCTGACATTTAGAAGACAGCCCTGTTTAGGGAAGTTTTTACTGTTTGAAGTTTTATTCTGCTTTTAATGTTCTGTTGGAAGCCGCCCAGAGCAACTGGGGAGACCCAGACAGATGGGCGTGGTAGAAATAAATTATTATTATTATTATTATTATTATTATTATTATTATTATTATTATTCTGTACCATGGATAGGGGACACGGGTGGCGCTGTGGGTTAAACCACAGAGCCTAGGACTTGCCGATCAGAAGGTTGGTGGTTTGAATCCCTGCGACGGGGTGAGCTCCCGTTGCCCGGTCCCTGCTCCTGCCAACCTAGCAGTTCAAAAGCACGTCAAAGTGCAAGTCGATAAATAGGTACTGCTCCGGCGGGAAGGTAAACGGCATTTCCGTGCGCTGCTCTGGTTCGCCAGAAGCGGCTTAGTCATGCTGGCCACCTGACCCGGAAGCTGTACACCAGCTCCCTCGACCAGTAAAGCGAGATGAGTGCCACAACCCCAGAGTCGGCCACGACTGGAAAAATGGTCAGGGGTCCCTTTACCTTTTACCATCATGGATGCTGTCTTACAGGATACATGCACTGTGATTTACTTGTTTGTTGCAAGGGCAGCTCTGGCCGTGAGGTGGCACTCTTCTCTAAATCTCAGAGGCAAACCCTGGAATGCGTCCAAGTGTTTCCCATAACATTTTCCAGTAGTTCTGAAGACAGCAGCTAGGCACTGTGACTGCCACGGTTATTGCACAATGGATTTAAATTGAACACTTGCCCGACTCTTACAATATCCTCCTGCTGCTGTCCCTCATTCCTTAGGTAGAATGATTTTTCTCCAAATTCTAATTTATGCACTTATTTTTCTCTCTGGGAGAAGCATTCAAAAGATGCATGCTTCCACACAGCCTGAAATGGAATAATCCAGAAAATAAAAAATAAAAAATTCATGGGACACTGCCAACTGTATAACATACCAAGTCCATGAAAGAGACAAAGGAAACAGATATTCCTGGGGCCTTTCCGCAGCCCCAAATTAACTACTGTGGTACCTCGGTTCTCAAACGTCTCGGAAGTTGGAATGTTTCGATCTTTGAACGTCGAAAACCCAGAAGTAACTGCATCGGTTTTCGAACGCTTTTTGGAAGTTGGACGTGCCACGTGGCTTCTGTTTTGAATTTTCTGTAAGTAAACGCTTCCAGAAATACATGCTTCGGTTTGCGAACATTTCAGAAGTCGAACGGTCTTCCGGAATGGATTACGTTCAAAACCTGAGGTACCACTGTACTTGCATTCTCTTTTTAGAACTAAACAAGACAATATGTTAAATGCATGGAAGTGTTTAATGTAACAACTACTTTTAAAATAAATAAAAAGCTGTGGGTCGGCCCAATCAGGATTGGGATGGCAGGGACATTTTTTCTAACCCCCTTTTTCCTGCTCCAAGGCCTGTGGGTAGGTGCGGAATAGGGAGCTGGTACCTTTGCTATCTGTGCCATTTCTGTTTAACCTGTGAATTCAGACGTTACAGAAACATACCACAAAGCACCTGCCTATTTAGGCATTAAGCATGCCAAAGTGCAAGTAGATAAACAGGTACCACTCCGGCGGGAAGGTAAACGGCGTTTCCATGCACTGCTCTGGTTTGCCAGAAGTGGCTTAGCCATGTTGGTCACATGACCCGAAAGCTGTACACCGGCTTTCTCGACCAATAAAGCGAGATGAGCGCCGCAACCCCAGAGTCGGTCACGACTGGACCTAATGGTCAGGGGTCCCTTTACCTTTATACCAGTTTTATTGTTTAACTCTAAAAAAGTCATAGCAATTGTTTACCCATTGGTTAGTTTCAGAAATGGAAATATGAACCGTATTCCAATACTGTACCCATTTCAGACACACTATATTCCATTATCATGCCGTGAGGTTAACATGAAAGTTGTTGCAAGATTATAGAGTTGGACTAAATGATTATCTGGGTCTCTTCCAACCATGATTCTTTAGATATAAAATGGCAAAAGAGAGAATATATTTCTTTCCTCTTCCATGAGTGTGGAGGTAATGTCAAGAGAGAACCAACTGGTTTCTTTGTTCTCCAACTCACACAAACAAACAGAGACGGACAGACAGACAGTGAATTTACTCTGGAGGCTAACAACATTTTGAATGCTTCCCTCTAGAAATCTGATAGGGAACCTGTGAACTTTGGGATATCTGCTAGAGTTCAGCTCGTATCTCCACCTATGCTTCCACCTGTATTTGTGTTTCATATATTACAAAGCGCCCAGCGATCTCCTTCCAAAGAAAACTATCCCAGCATATGCCGCACCTCAGATTTCTCACTGGCTGAAAAATTGGAATACATGTCAAAGCATCTCTTTGTCCGGGATGATGCCTTAAAGCAAAGCAGACCATACATAGATGTTTACTTTGTGCCTCAACCCCAGGGTAGCTTCAGCATCCAAAATATTAGGGTCTGCATCCACCAGGCTGCATGGCAGTTCCTTCCTTGACTAGAGAGAGGAAATAAGCCAGCAATAGAAATTCAAAACTAGGTTTCAAGAGCAGAGTTTGCATTGGGCTGTCAATTTGTAAGTTATTTCTCTAATCGGAAAGCAGATACCCTGCGATCTGTGTTGAGACGCTGGAAAAATGCAACACTGCAGTCCTTATAACAGATCCGCAGAATATACGGTGTCAAGTTTTAATCAAAGCCAGGCAAGCTGCCTCAAGAAACCTAAGCGTAGTTTGCCTTTTTGCCTGCAAAGGATAGAATTAAAATCACAGGCATATTACAAGAGTGGTCCCTACATTTTTGCACCGCCAGTACGCTCAACTTTGTGATGGGTTGCAGCCTTCTCCCCTACATGAACAGATCAACTTTTGGTTTCGACAGCCAAAGTGAAAGCAAAACATTTTCACGGAATTGTGTTGTGTCTCTTACTTCAAATTGTTGACTGCTAACCTGCAAGACTCACATTATCCATTGTTGGGTTACAAACCAATCCGTTGAAAACTGTTGGGAATACCTGTTGAGAAGAAGCTTGCCCAACTCTGAACTGCAAAATGTAAATAAATGCCTCCATGTTTGTAAGGGCTGGGAAGTGGGAGAACAATACAGCGGTACCTCGGGTTAAGAACTTAATTCGTTCTGGAGGTCTGTTCTTAACCTTAAACTGTTCTTAACCTGAAGCACCACTTTAGCTAATGGGGCCTCCCGCTGCCACTGCGCAATTTCTGTTCTCATCCTGAAGCAACGTTCTTAACCCGAGGTACTATTTCTGGGTTAGCAGAGTCTGTAACCTGGAGCGCCTGTAACCCAAGGTACCACTGTACATTCAAAATGCAAATATAAAATATCCCACTAACATTTAAAACCCAGTTTAAAAAAATACTAAAGCCTGTTGGTTTAACTTTTGCTTCCAAAAGCCAACCAAACTAGAAACGCTTCTGAAAGGTATTTAGGCCAAGTTCCCAAGAGGAAGACTTGCCTGGGGCAGCCTCAAAGAATGCTTCTTACAGCCATGTAATACAAAGATGGCATCTCCATGAGCTGTCTTGTTGCTGAGGGAAGGAGAACGTCATCAAGTATTTTCAGAGTTTGGAAGGTCAAAGCCAGTGCTATGTAGGATTAGGGCTAGTGAGACCCAGGTTCATAATCTGCCCTCATTTTTGAAGGTCACTGGGTAAAGCTTGGACTAGCCACTATCTCTTGGCTCAATCTATCTGTAAGACATTGTCAGGTGATGGGGTCAGAGGGATACTGGCCCAGGACTCCAACTGGCATAGACACACTGGAGCTCAAGCTCATTACAACAGCACTTTTTAAAACAACACCACATTTTATAGTCAGGGGATGGCTTCTGAGTATGTACATGTTTACAGATGTTCATTTTATTATTTTTTACTATAAAAATGCATTACCCTTTTCTGTGGCAAAATGGTACTTACTCCAAGTACAGTGGTACTTCGGGTTACATACGCTTCAGGTTACACACTCCGCTAACCCAGAAATAGTACCTCAGGTTAAGAACTTTGTTTCAGGATGAGAACAGAAATCGTGCTCCGGCGGTGCGGCAGTAGCAGCAGGAGGCCCCATTAGCTAAAGTGGTGCTTCAGGTTAAGAACAATTTCAGGTTAAGAACGGACCTCTGGAACGAATTAAGTACTTAACCCGAGGTACCACTGTAAATGTTTTTTAGCATCGGGGCAGCAGAAGCACATTTCCTTCCATTTCTGTAGTCATGACGGTTTGAGTTATGAATTTAAAATGCCAAGATGCACATGCTCAACATATTTATTTCATTTTTTGAAGTCAGGGGCGGGAAATTGTTCTATTTGGTTTTTTGCTCTCATATATCATGAAGGCAGACACAGATATAAAGCATGGAACTCCATACAGATGAAGGATTGGGAAAGACCATGGCAAAAAGATTTAAAAGTCATGGCCTGTTACACAACAATAATAATAATAACTTCATGAAAATGCTATATGGTGGTACATGACCCCCAGCAAATTTGCCAAAATATATAAATCAAAGTCAAATCTATGCTGGAGGTGTAATCAAGGGGAAGGAATGATGTACCACATGTGGTGGGGTCATGGCAAAATGAAAAAATTCTGGAACACTGTCTATGATGAATTAAAAAAATGTTCAGACAAACTTTTGAGGAGAAACCTGAAGCTTTTCTTCTAGGCATTATGGCAATTGATATTTCAAATGATAAATAAAGGGTGTTCCTATATGCTGCAAGAGCAGCAAGAATGTTAATTGCTAGAAATTGGAAGGGGGACAGGACACCAACAAAGGAAGAACTAAATTGTATGAGTATTCGGAATTGGCAAGAATGACAGAGGCAATGAGGAACCAAACAAACCAAAAACTTGAAAAGGATTGGGAATGTGTAGAAGATTATCTGGGAAAACATTGTTCTCAAATAAAACCCTTGATATGTTTCGACTAAATTTTGCAAAGTAAAGATCAGATAGAGAAGATATATTATTATGTATTAGAAAGGCAATAAGTAAAAACAACACATTTGAAAAGAGAAAGAAGACAGAAGGTGGTGGGAAGTCACTTGTGCAAAAATATTGTTATTGTTTGGCTTTTATATGTGTACAATACATGTTAAAGAGTGAATGGAATATGTATATGAATAACCAATTTAAAACTCAACAAAAAGCAATTTAAAAAAAGATGCGTAAAGCATGGAATGTGGAGCGGGGGAGAGGTATGTAAATTGTGTGCTCCACAACTGAAATAATACTGTCTAAATCCTCTGCCTCCCCCGTAAGACCATTAAGTCCAGGGTCTTAAATTACCTAGCTGTGCGTTCTGCAGCAACTCATCCTATGTGAAGCAAAACTGTAAAGCCTCACTATTATGAAGGCATGGATGAAAGTCACCAAATCCAGACCCTATAAGTGCCCCTATTTTCCAGGGACAGTCCCAGATTTACAGAAGCTCTTCTGGTTTCTGATTTGATCCCAGAATGTCCCGCTTTTCCTTAGGACGAGCCTATTTTCACTGGAGAAATGTTGGAGGAGATGCAAACACCACTAGTTTGTGTGGAAGAAAAAGCTATATTCTGTTGTTTGCTGTACAATTCAACCCGCAATCTTCAGTAATCTGCACAACCACAGGCTCTCATTGTATTTCCCCGTGACCTTGAACGGAATCTCTCCCCCGGAGCTTGTCAAGTTTGAGAACATGGGCGAGTTTCATGAAGCCAAATGGTACCCAATTTACTCAGGCCTTTGAACCCATGAAATTGTCCCTGCCAGAGACAAATCTAATAACAGCTAATTGCAGGCGCATGGCTCTGTACCGGAGGGGCAAAGGACTCTGTTGAGAACACAGGCAGCTGAAGGTCTTTTTTATTTTAATTTTAGTACAAGTGTTTATTATTCGTTTCCCAGTCAGTACATACAAATCAGGCATAGCTCCAAAAGGAGCCCGAGATGAGGTTAGCTCGCATGCGTTCTTTTTTATTTAAAAAAGTACTGAACGGCATCGTTACAATGAGACAATTAACAGCGTAAAACCAGGGTTCTCCCCGCCCCACATGCCTTAAGTTGTACACAGCCACAGATAAGATGAATGTATAAATTATGTTGCCATACATGATATGTACAAGTTATCCTTGATAAAAGACACAGTGAGTTGTTGCTGTCAAGTAATTAAAACCTCCGTGTATGCTTAGGAGGGCAACTTTTTGTACCTCTGCAGTTTTTAGCACTCTTAGATCGTGGGCAGTGATTGGGCAGAAGCATTTCTGAAGGTTGTGCGGCCCAAATGCTACTCAGCCAGGCTGATGTTGCTTGAAAAGTCTCCCTTGCAATCCTGCCCATTGCTGAAGAGAAGTGGACGAGGCATTACTCAAGGGAAATCATGAGAAGTGTCCAGGTTTGACAAATGCTTTCTGGCCTTTTCATTTTTAGTTGTTGTGCTTTGGTGGGTTAACTGATGCACATTGTGTTTTCCCACGAGAAGGGTTTATGTATTGCTTTCTGTCCCTGCGACACCAAGGTACAAAACGCGGAGCGTTTCGTTGGGAAATCTGCCTAAGCAAATCCGACCTCGCCAATGGAAGGAGGGAGGGGAGAGTTAAAAGGGATTTTGGGAAAAGCTGAAACCAGACCTGTAAGGCAGGAGTGGCCAACGTAGTATCTCCCAGACGTTGTTGAAATCAGCTCCCACCAGCCCCAGTGAGATTGGCCTAAGGGTCAGGGATAGAATCATAGAGTTGGAGGAGACACACGAGGGTCCTTTAGCCCAACCCACCACAATGCAGGAATCTCAGCTAAAGCATCTATGGCAGATGGCCACCCAACCTCTGCTAAAAAACTTCCAACGGAGGAGAATCCACAAGGGTGGTGGGAGATGGAATTCCAACAGCATCAAGAGGGCAACACACTGACTACCCCTGAGTAAAAGGATGCCCTGGAAATGAAATGACATTCCACTCATTCGTTTAGACTTACTTGAGATTCTCTTCCCACCCCCCAGAAATTCCTCCATTGCCAGCTGGACCATGGGCATAGCCAGGGGGGCGGTGTCTGTGTCTGTGTGCGCCAGCTGCCTACCCCGAATCAAGTAAGTAAATAAAAATACTTAGCTAAAAATACTGTACTTTTCCGTGTATAAGACTAGGTTTTTTCTTTAAAAATCATGCTAAAAAGTGGGGGGTGTTGTCTTATACATAGGTAGTGCATAGGGTGGACAGAGAGGCAGATTTTGCTGCGTGTGAGCGATTTTTGGCATTCCCTCCTAAAAAAAGCTCAACAACCTTGGGTAAAGGTAAAAGGACCCCTGACCATTATGTCCAGTCGTGGCCGACTCTGGGGTTGCGGCATTCATCTCACTTTATTGGCCGAGGGAGCTGGTGTATAGCTTCCGGGTCGTGGCCAGCATGACTAAGCCACTTCTGGCGAACCAGAGCAGCGCACAGAAAAGCCGTTTACCTTCCCGCTGGAGCGGTACCTATATATCTACTTGCACTTTGACGTGCTTTCGAACTGCTAGGTTGGCAGGAGCAGGGACCGAGCAACAGGAGCTCACCCCGTCACGGGGATTCGAACCGCCGACCTTCTGATCAGCAAGTCCTAGGCTCTGTGGTTTAACCCACAGCGCCACCCGCGGTCCAAAAAAGCTCAACAACTTTTTCCCATCTCCCCCCCCCCCATTTTCTTAAATTTGAGTCCCCCAAAATAGAGGACATCTTATACATGGGGGCATCTTATACACGGAAAAGTACGGTAAGTTTTAGTTTTTATAAGTTGCAAGATTTCGACTCCGAAGCTGAGCTGTGGTACACCATGCGGAAGGAGAAGAAACTCCGCAAATAGCAGTTAAAAGAGCTGAACACAGCAGACCTAGTAAAAGAGGTGGAAATCTTTTACTTTTATACCATGAAAAAGGCTCTTGCTCAGCCATTCATCCAGTACCCTGTGGAGAGTAAAGACCTGGTTAAGGTCAACGATGGACAGGGGAGCGTCTCAATGGGCTGGGCTTACTGAGCATGCCCAGAAAAACTGAGTGGGAGAAATTTGAGAAGGAAGTGCTGAAAAGGTTTTCAGCCAGTCCAATAAAACTTGTTTTAGTTTAATTTTTAAAAAAAAAATGAAAGAAAAAAAGATGTGCCCTTTGTAATTTTGCAAAATATATTGCATGAAAAGCACTCCCTGACGATAATTTTTCATTTAAGTTCCTAGTTTTCAAATGACTGAAGATTTTTGACAGATTTTTCTGAGGTCAAAAAGAAAGCCATTTAAACCAGCTGTTGTTGAGACATTTCATTCTGAAATCTGCTAGATAGAGGGCAATGACAGGTGGGTGTCCTGCCCGCCCCAACATAAATCCTGGCTACGCCCATGAGCTGGACTTAACTCAGAGACACACACACAGACACAGAAGAAGGGTAGAAGAGAATTCCTCTCTTCAGTACTGGGTGGAAATGGAAAACCATGTTCCATTTCTATTGGCAGCCAAAGTTGTGCTACAATCGCTGCAGTGATGAGCACCAGTTCTAGTTTAAAAGGACTCCCTCGATTAGCATCGATAGCTTTCAAGAGTCTCTAAAGACAGTAGGTGTACCACAAGCCACGACTGGAGAAAAATAGATGAGACATTACTCTCAAGGGAAATTGTACTAAGACACTGTCTGTCAGCAGCACCTTCATGGCAATGGTTAGAGCAATTTCTCCCTATTACATACCAACCCAATTTTCACTGTTATTTTTATTCACCCTGCCCCGCCCCAGCATACTGAGAGAAAATAATGCTTGAATATGTCAAAGTTTTCCCCTGCATGGGCAATGGCATTTGATTAAGAAAAATCAGTGCTAAAAACAGAAATTTGTAAATTATTCAACATATTAAAAAATAACTCACCTCACGTGTAATTAATAAAAAAACTTTTAAAAGACAAAAAAGAGAGAGAGATAAAAGAGGTTATGCTCTTTGGATAGCCGATATAAAAACACTGGAAATAACAATAATTATTGTAATACGAAGAACAAACAAAATGCATAAAAGAACAAAACAAACCCAGTTTGTTCTAAATAATACCTGAGGCCATTGAAGCAATGTTGGCTGAACTGCCTGTTAATTCTAATAACCGATGACAAAGGGAGAATACTGAGTGTGGATCTCGTACCATTCTACACCAAACAGGTGCTACGATAAGGGCAATGATGAAGATGATGAAGTAGCAGCCAGAAATAGGCTTTTTTGTGTGCAGAGACCTCTCTAGAGGAAAAAAGAAAATTCGCTCTAGCGGTTGGTATTGCATTTGACTCCAAAGAGTGGGGTGCATTTTTCTTTCGTGGAAAGCAGCCCACCTCCCTTAGATCACTGTACACCACGAATCAGTGTTCTGTTTTACTTGTACAGTGTACTGGTCTTTGTTATTTGCTCCTAATAAAACAAACAAAATCAAAAAGGAAGCCCGAACCACACCATCAATGATGGGGGGGGGGAAACCCAGCCCTCAAGTCGGTGCAGAGGGAAAGCCTGTGCATAAACTTCCGACAGTCCAAACCCTAATTTCACCCCTGTCTCTTCCCCGCCCCCCCCAAAAAATAGGTTTGGGCAGGGCAATGCACTGGTGGCAGGAAGGGATCGGGAGGAAATGGCGGAGTCAAGGAGGAGACTTCGGAGCAGTTCGCTCGAAGGATGGAAGCACCGGGTACCATCCCGTGTGTGCGAGAGAGGAAGACTAAACGTTGTGAGAGAGAAAAGGCTGTCGGTCGAGCACCGGGGACAATCCCTGGAAGGTTATATCCGTAGTGCCAGCGGGTGTCTTCTTCAGCCGACTCCCTCTCAGAGAGCCCTTCTGCATCCTTGCGGAGGCAATTCTATTTCCCTGCAGTCCGTGCGCCTTCAAGTTGTCACTGGGTTTTCCACTATAGCAACATCGTATTTTGTGGGCTTTTGTCTACAAGGTGAGTGCTAGGCTGGAAATTGGGGGCCGTGCTGTCGCCTGTGATCATCATTAACCGATAGATAGGTGGCTCGCATACTTGGAGAATACTAGGGAGAGGAGAGAGAAGGGGGACAGGAATTATGCATCTTGCAGTTCTCAACACCGGCTTAGGATCATACTGACAAAGACTATGAGATGACCATCCTCCCCATCCCCACCATTATTATTATTATTATTATTTTAAATAAGAAGTCCTGCAGAAAGAACATGGGATGCTGCAAAAACAGTCCAGGACTCGGCTCTTGGAAGCTACGTTGTGCTTCACGCTAGGTCTCATGTGGCTAGAAAACAACATCCTAACCATTGGCAGCAGGTGGAGTGAAATGAGGCGGCAATAGAAAGGCACCCAGAAAAAAAGAGCGAAATGCTGGCAAGGCGGAATGGACCTGGTGTTATTTGGAAAAGAAAGCAGGATAGTCGGGGGAAGTGGAAGCACACAAACATCCCGCTTAAAATAAGGACCTATGTTTTCTCCACCCAAGAGTTACAGGCAAAACAGGGGGCAGAGAGGACCACCATCTGTTCTGAAAGTTTTGAGAGACATGGAACAAAATTCATCTGCTCACTATACAGGTTTTATTTTGTTTGGGTAAATTCCTGCTACTGACACCCCCTTTTTTTAAATTGTCACAGTGAATTCCTTCCTCCAACTACAGATGAAAATGATGCCTCCTAATCTTAAAATCTTTTCTGTGAGTTCTTCCAACCCTCTAGAGCGGATCGGGTGGTGGCGGTGTTGGCGGGGCAAGGACATGGGGGTGAAGACAGGAAGTCCTGTTCCACAGGTAGAAGTCCTTCCGCTGTTAGCAGGATGACTTCGCTGGATACAACCCCCGTTAAGATTCAGGCTTGTACTCTTTGCAGTACAAACTGAGGCCTCCTACTTCATTTTACTAGAATCCCAGTAGTCTGTCAACGTATGTCAAAATTAAAAAGCAAGGCTGCATACTCAGGATCTTTTAATAGTTAAGGCATAAGTAACCTGTGCCAGGTGAGTGCCAGTATGCACTCTTGCTTAAGAGGATGAGTGCTACCTTTGTGTTTTGGACCAAGGTCTACCTAGCAGAAGATACTGTACTTTTCCGTGTATTAGACAAGGTTTTTTTTAAAACTGTCAAAGAATGTTAAAAATGGGTGGGTAGTCTTATACACGGGTAGTGATTTTTGGGGGGCTGGCGACTGGTTGCAGATGCAAGCTGTAGCTTGTCAGCTGCAATTGGGTTTGAGAATGGAGTCTGCTGCAAGCGATACTGTGGACCGGCTGTTGCTGCGGCATTTGGGTGTGCGAATGCTGGCTGCTGTTGGCTTGATGGCAGACACTCTGTTGCTTCTTCTGTGTGTGCGTTTGGTAGCGTTTATCATCAGTCGGGTGAGTGTTTTTTGGCACTCCCCCCAAAAAAATACCTCAATAACTGTGGGCATTTTCTCCCCCAAAAGTTTGACAACTCTGGGGGCAATTCTCCCCCTAAAAAGCTCGACAGCTCTGGGGGCAATTCTCTTCCAAAAAAGCTCAACAACTCTCCGCCATCTGCCCCCATTTTCTAAAACTGGAGTCCCCCAAAAGAGGGGACGTGTTATACATGGAAAAATACTGTACTTAGCAACCAGTAGGTGACAAGACAGCCTGATGGGCATCAGTCAGTGGTCCACTGATGGCCTGAAGCCTGCCTTCTGTCTACCCCAGCCTTTCTCAACCCGTGGGTCCCCAGATGTTGTTGAACTACAACTCCCATCACCCCTAGCTAGCAAGGCCAGAACTCAGGGATGATGGGAGTTGTAATCTAACAACATCTGGGGACCCACAAGTTGAGAACTGCTGGTCTACCCCATCCTATATAAGCTTATTACAGGTAGAAACTATTCTATGGTCATTTCCAGAGAACTGAACCTCAGTCCCCCCCAATAAATACGCTGCAGTTCCATGTGCGTTGGGTGACCCCTCCATGTACTCCCAAGATGCTACTTCTGTTGCAGGGATGTTAGTACCCAGCAGCCAGTGTGGTTTTAGGGAATCAGCTGATGGGTTTGGATCAGGAAGACCCGGGCTCAAACTGCTAGGAAGCAGTCCCATAAAAAGACACAGGCAAGTATTCTTCTCTTTCAAAGCCTAGCTCACAAGGTTGTTGTTGCAAGGATAAAACTGCAACATATTTTTTTTTATTTGTGGGGTGAGGAGAGAGAACCATGATCAGAGGACCCCTCAACTGCTCGAAGGAGTGGAGGATACACAAATGCAAATAAACCGCAAGGGCCTGCAGTGGATTTCTTCTCTTATCTACAGTATCCACTGCCATTAGCTTCTGGAATGTGGTTAAAAGTCAAGAGGCAAATTGCCACTGTTTAGGCAAGCATCATCCATAACTTCTCCCTCTTCCCACGCTCCTCTCATTTTCAAAAAATGTCTATTTCTAAATATTCCTGAAGAGAACGTTTGAGGCAAATTTATGGTGGCAAAAAAAGGAGGACAAAAACTCCAGGTTCTTGAAGCAGCCATTCTCACCCAACGGCCAGGAAAATGCAGTGAGATCCAGTTTAATTTAACTGAGAAACCTAAGGATTTTTTCTGAGAGCTTTTTGTTTCTAGAGTCCCACTTCTACTCACCATTTTTCTATTTTGGGCTTGCCACTAGTGCTTTCCCAGCTTTGTAGCAGATGTTTATAACCCAATACAACCACTCGTGCATTTATTCTTAATGCGCTAGTGGTGGTTTAGGGAGGTTGGGCCTTCATTTAAATATTTTGGTTTTTAAAGCTTGAAAAGCAGAAAACTCGTGACATCTCACCAGTCTTCAGTGTATAAAGCCACATTTTGAGCTTTCCTATGAAAAAAAAACAAAACCCTCTCAAGAACTTTGCAAAGGCAGCTCCAGAGCCACACGGTTAAGTTTTGTTTAATAAACAGGATAAACCAATATGGGCATCTCACCCGTCTATTTTGTGGGACAGGGTTCCTGTACTTCTGGTATTATTGGAAGTATAAGATTAAGGAAAACAGCTAGGTGGGGTTTTTTTGCTTTTTGTTTTGGGTGTCAGGTCTGAAAAATGTGTGTTGAGGGAAAAGAGCGTCTTCCAAATCACAGCATTAAGGAAAATGATTCACAATCTTATTTTTCTGCAGCTCAAAAAAGCTCAAAAGCCTTTCCTTGGGGGATTTAAATTCCATTTAAATTGGGCTGTTCAGTGTGTGTGTGGGGGGGGGAGGGGTTTGAATTAATCCGACTGCACTTATAGTTTCATCATCACCCTTGAGCTTCTGCAGCTCCAGCCTCTGCAACAGCAGAGTCCCAATGTTTAAACACCCGATTTAAAAATAGTTCCCATAAAAAGAAGGAGGAATTGTCACTTAGGATTAAAAAAATGGATGTTGCGGACGCTTGTATTCTAAGTGCAGCTCTTCTGCTCTTTTTGAATTACCATCAGGGTGGCAGTCCTGATGCGTAGCCCAGGGTCTCGGTTCCCACCTACTGATGAAGCTACACATGGAGCTTTCCCAGACCAAGACTTTAGGAACAGCAGAAGCAGTTGTGAAGAAAGGAGTTCAGGGATATTTTTTCAATACGTTTTGTGTCTTTGCTTCTCAGTTTGAACGGTGTTATTTTATGCACTGTGACTTGCTGTTATTTTTTACTGATTACGGTTTAGAAATTATTTATTGCAATTGTTAAGAGTGAGTTTGTTTAATTATTACTTCCTGATATTTTATTTTATTTTGCACTGTTATATTCTGATGGATGGTTGAACATTACTTTATTTGATACAAGTTGTTTATTTGAAAGTTATGTTTCTATCACGACAATTTCATATTGGATCAGATTGTTATAAGGTGCATGTGATCTTTGTTGTTTCTTCAGCTTGTAAACCACCTGGTGTATAGTAATATAGAAAGGCGGTATACAGATTAAAAGTGAAATGAAAAAATGAAATGAAATGGGAGAGCCGCCGGTCCCCCATCACTGATTTATTCACATTTGGGGTGAATGAAAGAATGATGTTCTGGAGTGGCTGGTTGAACACCTCTTATTAAAGAGGCTCAGTGTCCTGCTTGCATCAAAAATATAATTTGCAGCAATGCTCTAAACTGAGTTACTAGATGATGCAAAATAAGCCCAAAGGGTAATTGTGTAATTTTGTTAAATGAAGGCACACTGTTTTACTGATGCATGATTTTTTTTTTTTTGTTACTTTGGAGTTATTCCAGTGGCGATTTTATAGTTAGAATGCAATTCCTTCTCTAATTGGCCAATAAGTACATCTAATTCATAGTTTCCCAAGTTGGGTCTCCAGCTGTTTTTGGACTACAACTCCCATCATCCCTAGGTAGCAGGACCAGTGGTCAGGGATGATGGGAAATGTAGTCCAAAAACAGCTGGAGACCCAAGTTTGGGAAACCCTGGTCTAGATAGCATAAGAGCAGGTGTTTGGTGCCCTCAGGTGCCTTTCACTTTGCTTGAAAATTGGACTTCCCAATTTCCCCTCCCTTTCTGTTCTAAATTGAGCTCTTTAACTCAGAAAGAGGCAGGACACTGTTGCACAAGGAAAAAAAGAGAGTGTGTTGCAGCACCTTCAAGGCCAACAGATTCCCAGTGGCAAAAGCCCTCGTGGGACAGAGCCCGCTTTATCACACACACAAAGTTCTGTCCTCATTTGGCAGGCGGAGGGTGGTGATGGCGGAAAGTTGTTATTTCAAAGTGAAGCCAGAGAGGTCCAAGGCATGCATGCAATGCGAGTGGCACATTATGAGCATGAGTTGCAAAGGAAATTCAGTCAAAGGAGTCCAAGATGCAGAGTAAGGAGGATCGACTCCTAAGTGATGATGAATAATGCACATAAAACACGTAAGGAAAGCTTATTGCTTTCTGTAAGTGAGCAAGCCATTCCCAATCCCCATTGAGCCCCGTTCTGTTGCCACCAAACCTGCCAATGAACTCCAACATGGCAGCTTCATGCAAGAACCTGCCTTTTAACATTTTTCATCCCTTCTATCCCACTTTTGTCTGCAAAAAACTTAAGCCATGATAAATCTTTTGGTCTTCTAAGGTGTCGTGAC